GTTTGGTCAAGCGCAAGAACCACAAAGTCAATAAACTGAAGCTGAATATGATGACCTATAGGACTGATACACCACAAGAGGCCTTGAGCAAGTAGTGAGTGGTTTTACACGTTCACGGTAGCAGGAATTACATGTAATAAAATACGAAGTAAAAATCAGGTATCTAGAGGAATAAGGCAGTACAATTGAGGTTTAAAAGGGTCATGAATTTGCAATTGGTTAAAATAAATGATACTTGTCTAAATATGAGAAGCCATGATTAATTCAACGCACACAAGGAAAGAGCTCTGATGTTTAAAGGAGAGTCATGTGAATCAGAGACAAACCAGAAAGAATACCACCAGACTCAAGTGAAAACCAGTAAATGGATGACTCTCTAACGTTTGAAGTAATAGCCTTAGACTTCTGACGCGTAACCAGCTCACACCACGCGACACAGCGTCCTCCAAGAAAGGCGATTGGTGACGACATGGTCTACCTCCCTCCTCATGGCCAGCAACTCCCAGCTCATGGGTGTTATTTCCATGCCAAGCGGGGGTCCATTCAGTCAGCTGGGATACTTCAGATTTTATTTTATTCACAGTTTTATGTGCAAACAGGTCTCTGAGCGAGTGGCATGTTTTTAATCAATATTTTAAAAAAGTTTGGAGGGTGCAGACGAGGAGTTGCAGTGAAACAAAAAAAAGCAAGAGTAACAGGTGTGAACACAGAAAGGAAACCAGAGTTGACAGGTAGACTTAGAATGGGGACACAGGGTCGCCGGGGGCTGCGTCACTCACTGGACAGAGGGAGCACCTCCTGCCCCTAGCTGACGCCTCCTGCAGAGTGACGCGTGCCTGGGGCCGTGTCTGCTAGGACCTGCGTGCACCGGCGCCACCGGCGCCCACCCACTGGCGCCTGAATGGGCCAGGGATCTGGGTCTGGGCCCCTCGGACGGGCGGGCCCATCTGCACCCCGGTGCATCGAGCTCTGCACGGAAGCAGGGGCCCCCACCGAGCGGGTCCGGGTCGGAGGGCCCGGGGTCCGGGAGTGCGCGGGGGAGGCGTCTGCTCGGGGACTGAGGCGGCGCCTTCGCCTCCTGGCAGCCGCAGGAACGCGGGCCGCCGCGGCGACATCTCGCTCGGGAGGGAAGCGCGGAGGAGAGCGAGCCACGCTTTATCTGCTGCGCCACGCGCGTGGCGGGCCGGGGCGCCGAGGATCCGCCAGGCGCAGCGGGGCTGGGGGCGCAGGCCGGGCCAGCGCGGCGGGAGGAGGTAAGGCCGCCGGCTGCCCAGCCAGCCCGCACCGCTCGCTCGGGAGGGCGCCTACCGGAACCCTGGGGCCACCCGATCCCCGAACCTCCCCTGCCTGCACTCTTCCTCCCGCCCAACCCCCGGTGTCCCTCCCCAGCTCTCTTGCCCCAGCCTCTGCTTTCCACCCCCGCAGCCGCCCTCCCGACGCCCAGCGGCGGGGTCGCGCCCACCTGAAGCCCACCTGGGCTCCCGCCGCAGCTCTCGGGGCCCAGACCGCACCCGAGAGGCCTCCCGCCGGGGGCGGGGCTTACCCGCCCGGGACCGCCCCCTGGGCGGGGCTCGGAGTTTAAACGGCGCGGCGGGCCGGCCGGGCCTCACCTGCGCGCCCCGTGGCTGGTCCGCGGGCGGCGCGGCGTCATGTCCCCGGGCAGCAAGGCGAAGACGGAGTACATGAAGAGCTACCAGGAGCCGCGCTGGGAGGAGCACGGGCGCTACTACCGCGAGCTGCTGCACTACCGCTGGGGCCGCCGGCTGCTGGAGCAGGCGCACGTGCCCTGGCTCTGGGACGACGGCGGCCCGGCCGGCGCCTCCGACCACTGGGCGTCGACGGAGTCGCCGGGAGCCGGGGGCCCCGAGCCCCAGTGCAGCCTGGCCTTGCCCGCGCCGTCCGAGGAGCCCGCGGCGCGGGAGGAGACGGGGTCGCAGGTGCGCGGGTCCCCGGAGGAGGAGCGCGCGGACGCCGGGCACGCGGAAGCCGAGGACGCGCCTCCGCCAGGTACTGGGCCTGGAGGGGCACCTGCTTCCCTTTTGTTTTTCTTGGCGGACGGGGATTCCGGCTCCCTTGGCAAAATAAGGACGGTGTCAGCCCCGCCTCCGCCTTGCCACCCTTCCGCGCCTTAACTGAGCGGCGCTCGGTGGCGCAGGCTGCGGACTCGACCGCGGCGCCGCCGGACAAGTCCAGGTCTCTCCCCTGGGGCGGCGGCCGGCCACCACCTCCCATCTACTTATGTCTGAGCGCCCATTTTTGCTGGGAGGATCCCCGGCTTTCGTCAGTCTCGGAGGTGACCCGAAAGGCTGAGAACCGCCGGGCTCAGCTGTGTGTCTTGCGAATGGGGCGTTGCTTTCGGTGCCAACTCCCGCCTTCGCGGCGCTGTCCCTAGAGAGCGTCCCGCAGGTGTCTGCACGGACCGTTCAGAACGCCCGGCGTGGGGGCGCCTTCGTGGGGGTTGGTCCCCCCTCCCCGCCGCGCCACGGGCGTCACGCGCGCGCGGGAGGGCGGTGGCCGGGAAAGGCCCCTGCGAGCTGCGCGTCCGCCTGGACAGCGTCGCCGCCTGTCCTGGGGGCTCAGCACCCGGCTGGTGCGGCCGGGGACGACCACCGCATCGCCGGATTTCAGAGCTCTAGCGAGCAAAGTAGCTAAAACATTAGGAGCTCATTATACATTTCAGTCACCGACCTAGGAATGCGTATTTTATTTCACATTCAAAACAATCTCAGGCGGCAGGACCATAATTTTTATATCAATTTTATAGAAAAAGAAATGGAAGCTCGGGACCACTTATTTTTGTGGACGCCACTGTGAGCCAATGAGACTCTCTTCCTGGCCTCTCCGTCCGAGGCCGAGGAGCAGGTGAAATCCGGAGGATGGGCCGGGTGACTTCGCTCTGGGCTGTAACATCTTGGGCTGTTCTCGGCTCGTGCGCGGCAGGGCTGCCTCTTCCCGTCGTGCAGCTTGGGACCGCCGCTGGAGACGCGAGCGACAGAAGGCTGGGGGACAGGCGTTCCCGATGGCTTCTGTGGGCACTGATCTGCCAGCCAGAGGGGGAAGTGCTCCATCAGCCGGAATGGGCTTTGCTCCCCCCTTCCCCTTCGTGGTTTGCGTGGCCATCGTCAAATATCTTCGTGCAACACACAGTGAAAACCGTTTCTAAGTAGCATTGTGATATGGACGGTTGTGTGTGCTTACCTGTTCAGGTGTGCCCCTGGGTTCGTGATTATTTTCTTAGAGATGTTGAACCCCTCCAGTTATTCATTCTCTGCTAAAGTTTAGGCACCAGGGAAAGGAAAGGCAAGGAAAGGGTTCCTGCTTTCAGGACACAGTTGCAGGAGCTTTTGCTTCGCTACCTGTCCGAGCCCTCTCTGTTCCTGCGCTGGGCGAGATTGAAAACATCCTTGTTTTTAAGTGGATGATTTTATATATTAGAGCAATGAGCACTCCTTTGAGAGTCTATAAAACACAAAAGTTCTTTTCCTGAAGCCGCATACGCAGAATCACGGAGTTCTATATGGTTCGTTAGGAAAACACAGCAGCCCCCTGACACACACACATGAATTGCCACTTTTAACTCCTGGTTTATCCTCTGGTTTTTCTTTCCATATTTCCAATTAACATGGCTTTTATGGACACTTCTTGATTTTTTTTCCCCCCAGTATTTACCATTACCTATTATTGGCTTTAATTTTTTTCTTTTTTTTATTGAAGTAATATGTATATATGCAATTTACCATCTTTACTATTTTTAAGTGTATAATTTAGTGGTAATAACTATATTTATATTATTTTCCCCCTTCCTGGCTTTACTTCTTTTTACTGCTCTCCTAATCTTACACATGGACCTTTCACACCTCCTCAATAGAGCCGTCGCAGTTAGATTCACAATTAGGATCTACAACATTGTGCCTGTGGAAAATTTACCCAAAGCTGACTCATATTGTTTCCCTTGATTCCTTTTGCTTTCTTTCACAATATAAGGACAGGTCGGGTTCACTATCACTCTCAGTCATCTGAGCATCCCTCCCACTGCCTCTGACCTACTTCTGTCTGGCCTGGTTGCTGCTGTTACAGTATTTTGGGAGGGCCCTTGGCCATCACCTCCAGGCCTGCCTCGGCTTCTCTCTTGGGTAGGAGTCTCTGTTGTGTGGCTGCCATGTCATCTCCTTTCTAGGTTTACCCTCTCCTTGGTGGAGCTCATCTTCCAGTAGCTTCCTGGGTAAGAATGAGTGAGAGGTAAATTTTCTGAAACCCTGCATGTCAAAAGATAGCTTCTTCTACCCTTACCATTTCATGAGTGTGGCTGGGCATGGAGTTCTAGGCTGGAAGGAATTGTCTCTAAAAAATCTGGAGGCCTTGCTCTTTTGTGCTGTTAACTACCAGCGTTGTTACAGTCCTGCATTATCATGATTCTTGATCCTCTGCAGGTGACATGTTCCCCCTCCAGAAGCTTTTAAGGTCTTCTCTTTGTCCTTTGTGTTCTGAAATTTTTCCTTGATCAAGGTCTGTTTTCCTTCACTGTGCTGGGCACTTGGTGGGTCCTTGCAGTTCATACTTTTAATTCTTGGAAGTTTTCTGGCATTATTTTCTCATTTTAATTTTTTTCCTGTTTTTCTTTCTTTCTGAAGTCTTTAGTTGGATATTAGGCTTCATTATTTCATCCTTTAATTTTCTAATTTTTTTCTTTACCGATTTTCATCTTTTTTTTTTTGGTTCTGTTTTCTGGGTGATATTCTCAACTGTATCTTCCAAGTCTTCTATTACATTTTTCATTTGTGGGATCCTATTCATTTTTTTTTAACTTGAGAGCTCTCGAATTGTTTTCAGGCCTGGTATTCATTTCCTCCCTTCTTCCCTCCCTTCCTTTCTTTTTAAGTACTTTTTAGAAAATAGTATCTGGTTCTTGATTCATGCATATAGTATCTTACCTTGCTGAAGATACTGCTAGAAGGTTTTTGTTCTCTTCTTTGTGTGTTTCTTCAACATAGTCTCTCTTTCATCTTGTCTTCTTTGTTTCTTTTTGCTTGTAATTCTCTATTTCATGTTAGGGACTTTTTCTCAAGTGTCTAATGATCTTTGGCATCTCATATTTAAAAGGTAGGTACTAAAAAGTTGTTAGGAAGTTCTGTCTGTGTATTGAGGTTTAGGGGTGGGAGTGCTTATTAATGGTGGGATTACTTCCTTCCCATAGTCCACATGCTTTAAAGAGTGGTCTAGATTGTCTCCAATTCCTTACTTGATACTCACATTTCTTTTAAAATTAAAATTTGGGAGTCCACTTGCCCAAGGCCTCTTGGCAGTGGCTCCGGGTCATGGTCCTCAAATTTGGCTCAGAATAAATCTCTCTAAAAATAAAAAAAAAATAAAATAAAAAAATAAAATTTTATTTTTAAGGTTTACATGTTTATAATTTTTAAAAAACTTGCTTAAAATGAAAATAACTAATCCTGTACTGTTTCTCAGCCACACCCCTTGCTCTTTCCAACTCTATGCAGCTTTCCTTTCAGCATTTGACCACTCTCTTCTCATTTAGACTTATCTGTTGGCTTTTTTATTGTAAACGTTATAAATTGACTTCCTGTTATGGGAGATGAAGGGTTTAGCTCAAAATCTTAGTTCACCATCCCCATTTCACCCCCAGACATATACCAACACCCTGTATCCCCACAACGTTAACTATATGGCTGTTTTGTTTACTCTCTCGTCTGTGTTTGCATTATCATGGCTATGTAAATTATTTGTAGAAGAGCCACATGATACATTCTGATTACATTTTGTTACAATTTGTTTTTCCTGAAGTTAATCATTGCTTCATATTTTTGTTTACTTTTTTTTTTTAAATACTCTTATCACCAATTCAGCCTGAAATGGTCTAATAGAACTATATAACACTTGTCATATGTCAGACTCATCAGGTGTTCTATTCATTTGATTTTTTTTCTCCTTGGAGACATTTTTTTGGAGCCCTCGATTCTCCTGTTCCAATCTACATTTTATGCTGTCCAGATCTGGCACAGCTGCTAAACGGGGGCTTCTCTTCACTGTCTCTCTGAGAATTCCTTTCACTTCCTTTCTTTGGTCCCCTGCCTTGTACATCTCAAGTCTTCTTTTTGCTCAGCCTATTCCTTCCTTTTGTTGGAGCATATCCTCTGTCACGCCTATAAAATATTGCATGGGAAGTAGAAATTTTGTGACCTTGCATGCCTAAAAAAATGCCTTCATTATATCCAAAGGCTAGATTGATATTTTGGCAAGGTAGAAAATTCCAGATTAGAAACTGCAGAGCTTGAAGGCATTATTATTACATTGAATCCTAGTTTCTGGTCTTAGTGTTAAGAATTACCATGCCATTCTGATGCCTGTCTTGTGTGCATGACCTCCTATATTTGAACTTTTTTTGGGGGAGGGGCGGGGGGGAAGCTTTTAGAAGGTTCTTTTTATCCTGGGTGCTCTAAAATTCTGTGATGTGCTGGTGTCTTCTCTACCCCCCATCCTTGAGCTGGACCTTTTCAATCTGGATGCTGCTTTCAGTTCAGTGATATTTTCTAGTACTATTTAAAAATAACTTTCTCTGCTCCATTTGCTTTATCTTTTCTCTATAATTATCCCTAGTCGGATGGTGTACCTCCTGTTATCAAGCCTCTAACATTTTTATTTAAAAATGTTTCAGTTTTGGATTTTTTGGTTCTGTTTTCTGGGCGAACTCTTTAATTTTTTCCTTCCAACCTTTCTATTGAAATTTTTTATTCTCCCACCTTAGCTTTATTTTTTTTTTTCCTTTCCGGGGAGGTCCAGGAACTTAGCTTTAAATTTCTAAGAGATCACATATTTTGGTCCCAAATGTTCTTTATTTTTTTTTTTAAAGTAGCATTCTGTTCTTGCATTTCTTTACTGACAAAAAAAAAAAAAAAAAAAGTCACAGATACCTCTGACTGCTTTCTTCAATTCCCTCTGCCTGTCTTTTTCTTTTTCTGGATATTTTGCGTCTCTCGTATTGGAGCATGGTTCAAATGTTTGCCCTTAACCTGCACGCTCTATACTCAAGAGGCTAAGGCCTGAAAGAGCTTTTCAGCAGCTTTGTGCCTGGGGTGTGTGTGCCTGTTTTCTGTAACTGGATGAAGACCAGCTGTTTCTCTGGGGACTCCAAACATTAATACCTGCTGGTGGTATCCTGTAGGAGCTGTTGGGGACAGTCCGCCCCTAGTCTTCTGCCTTGAGGGTGCAAGCAGGTGCTGGCGTCCTGGCGAACAGAGTGTCGAGAAAGGCACCGAAGAGGTCTCCCTCTTTACCATGAGGCCTTTCACTGGTTCTATTTTTCAGGAAGTGGTGTCACCCCAGCTTCTGCTGGACCTGGTCTCACATCTAGCCCTACCTGGCTTCTCCCACTTCAGACAGCGTAATCCATGTGCTCAGGGTGGGAGAGAAGCGATACCTGACATGATGAACTGGAGGAAAGAATATGTGAGAAGTATCGATGCTGCATGATAATATTACTCTGAGAATTAGTCATTTAAACTTACAGTGGTTTCTTGGGTCTTCATGGGCAATTGGTTCTAGGATATCCCTGCAGATACCAAAATCCATGGCTGCTCTATCCTCTTATATAAAGTGGTATAATTGCCGGGCGTGGCTCATGCCTGTAATCCCGCACTCTGGGAGGCAAGGCAGGAAGATTGTTTGAGCCAGGAGTTTGAGGTTGCGTGAGCTAGGCTGATGCATGGCACTCTAGCCCGGAACAGAGTGAGACTCTGTCTCAAAATAATAATAATAAATAAAATGGTATATATTTGTTTTTAATCTATGTACATCCTCTCGTATACTTTAAATCGTCTCTAGATATACCTAGTGTAAATGCTATGGAAACAGTTGTTATGCTGTATTCTTTATTTGTATTTTTTTTTTTTTTCGAGACAGAAGTCTCACTTTGGTTGCCCAGGTAGAGTGAGTGGCCGTGGCATCAGCCTAGCTCACAGCAACCTCAACTCCTGGGCTCAAGCAATGCTGCTGCCTCAGCCTCCCAGTAGCTGGATACAGCATGCGCCACGTGCCCGGCTAATTTTTTTTTCTTTATATATTAGTTGGCTAATTAATTCTTTCTATTTATAGTAGAGACGGGGTCTCCTCTTGCTCAGGCTGGTTTTGAACTCCCTGACCTTGAGCCAATCCGCCCGTCTCAGCCTCCCAGAGAGCTAGGATTACAGGCGTGAGCCACCTCGCCCGGCTTATTTGTATTTTTTATTGTTATTTTTCTTCAATACTTTTCATCTGTGGTCAGTTGAACCTGCAGATGCAGACCCCACTGATATGGAGGGAGACTGTACTCCTTTCTTGGCGCCCTGGCCCCAGGATGCCTTGTCTGCTCCCTGCTGTGCGTGGCCTCAGCGGTGAGGCTGCAGGTGGGGGCTTGGCTGCTGCGGGACCCCAGTATGCATGACCTCTTCTTGCACCTGGCCTTCCTCGTAACACACCGGCTGGCTTCTGAGCACAGCATCCTGAGACAGCCAGGGCGGTGCTGTTGCCCTTTCTGCCTTGGAGCCATGCAGCACCTCTCACCCCATTGCACCCTCACTTGGGAAGTTCCAAAAGTCTGCCCAGGTTCAAGGGGAAGACCTGTTGGTCCCAATTCTCAGTGGAGGCACATTCATACTGCATTGTCAGAAGAGGCTGGAGTACTGATTGATGCTGAACCTTTGGAAAAGAACCTTTTGTACTAGTCTTGTGAGGAACTTGCTGTATCATCCGACTCTTTCTGGGGTTCAGCCTCTGTCCTGGGCCTTTCCCCTTCAGGAAGTTAGGATTCATCTGAGTCAGTTCTGCAAGGTCATTTCCACCTCTTCATCTACTTTCCTTCTCCCAAAATTTTACTGATATCTTTTGCTTGATGTCATTGCCTCCCTTGCTCTTTGACCTAGTGGCTTTATACCTTTTTCCCTTCACTTTAGCGGGTTTGGGAGGAAAGGACTCTAAGCACATGTTTTCAGTGCATATTTAACCTGAATTCTGCCATCTGCTGTATTTTTACTTATTTTCTCTCTTGATCAGAGTTGCCAGAGGCTTGTGAATTTTAGTTTTCTCCCAAATTAACTCTTGGCTATGTGGGTTCTCTTTTTTTTTTTTTGAAACACTCTCACTTTGTTGCCCAGGCTAGAGTGAGTGCCGTGGCGTCAGCCTAGCTCACAGCAGCCTCAAACTCCTGGGCTCAAGCGATCCTCCTGCCTCAGCCTCCTGAGTAGCTGGAACTACAGGCATGTGCCACCATGCCTGGCTAATTTTTTCTATATATATTAGTTGGCCAATTAATTTCTATTTATAGTAGAGACGGGGGTCTCGCTCTTACTCAGGCTGGTTTTGAACTCCTGACCTCAAGCTATCTGCCCGCTTCAGCCTCCCAGAGTGCTAGGATTACAGGTGTGAGCCACCGTGCCCGGCCTATGTGGGTTCTCTTTATTGTATGTTTTTATTAGCTTATGATCCTTATTTCCTTTAATTTTCTTTAGGCTTATTTTGCTCTTTAACTTTTTGAGATGGGTGCCTATCATTGATTTCATTTGATTTTTTTTCCTTTTCTTTTTTTTGATGTATTCATTTAAGGGTATAAATTCCCCTCTGCTGCCATTTCTGTTGCAAGTGCTGGGAAAGCCCCCTTAAAACCGGAGCCCTCATGGTTAGCGCCCCCTGCTGGGAATGCAGAGCTGTGCACCCAGTGAGTGACCATGGAAACCACTCCATTGTGAGGGCCTCTCGAATTATGGAAGCCAGCGAGCTCTTAGGAGCAGAGGAGGCCCATAAGGAGCGTTTTTCCAGTGACTTAAAAACATTTTGCAGCTGCCAGATGATGACCACAAATCCAAATCTTTCCCTGAAGCAAAGCATCAGAGGATGGGATTTATCTTGAGTTGCGGAGAAAGCCCTTAGGCTGTGGTACTTTCTAGCTTTTAACTTTCTATTGAGATGCCAAATCTCAGAATATGAGTGGCAATAGTTGCTTTGGCATAGGTTTGGTTCAATCCTGCTATATTTGTCTTTTAAAATGAGATACATGGTTTGAAAATTATTATGCTCACTTGTTTCTACATTTCTGCTTTCAGTGGAACTTGTGAGTGGAGCCATTAGTGAAAATGTTACTGACTTGACTAAGCGTTATTATTCTGCAAAGCCCAATATTGAATCGCATGTAAACCTGATTTGAAAGTGTTTGTCTTATCTCTTTTCAATAGCACTGCCTGTGAACGATGTAGAAGAAAAACCTGAACAAACCAGAAAAGAGACTGATAAATTACCCACCAGTATCAAAGCTCGACAAAGACGAAGTGCCTTATTTGCCAGAGGAAATAGGAAAGCTGTCAAAAGTCCCCAAAGATCGTCAACTAAAGCAAAAGAAGAAAAGCGTCCGTTTGCTCTTTATGGCTGCGGAGAAAAAAAGATGGTTATCGGCAGCCAAAAAACTCACAACGTGTGCGCGTCTGCCCCTGAGCATGAGGTGCGCTCTGGCCTCGCCTTCCCCGCGAGGTGGCGAGTCTGTCCTGTGCCAGTCACTGGCTGTCGCATCCATGGCCATGGAGACCTTAGGGGCCAGGGGAGCCCAGAATTGGGACTCTGATTTAACCAGCAGGAGTCTGGATGTTGGCTGCCTGGAGAGCAGGAATTTTGGCTGAAAGTTGGAGGGTAGCCGAGGGTTGCACTGACGCGCCGGCCCAGGAGGTGGGTGGAGTCCCCAGGGGGAGCACAGCCAAGCACAGCCAGAGCTGGGGACCAGAGCTGGGGAGGCCCACCTGGGTTTACCGTGGGCTGCTTGCGTGGGTTTCAGTCTCCTTCGGCTTTGACGAGCTGGCATTTTCTTGACTCCTTTTTTAGTGGTTTGTCTGTCTGATTGCTTGGCATCTACCGTAGACCCCTTTGTGCTCTTTTGGTTAAATTCAAATTGCTATGTTTGCCCCTGTTCGTCCATAACTAACGCACTTTACCCCCAGGAGCTTTAGTTCTCCTCTGACTTAGCCCCCAGCTTGCCAGCCTGTGCCAAGCCCTGAAAATATTTCAGACAAGAGGATACTCATGCTTGTAGTCACAAACAGATATATATGTCGGCATTAATATTGCTACTGTGGCCGAACGCAAAGGATACATTTAAGGAAGCAGAAAGAGAAACTGCAAAGTCTGAATTCTGGTTAAATCCTGCAAATGAAAATTTTACTAAACAGACTTCTCAACCCCAGCAGATGGTCTTATTTAGAGAGAGATTTGAGACAACAAAGCTGCCGTTTAACCAAAGATCCCTGACAAGTCCATGGGATCAATTTTAACAGGATTTATCTGTAGTACAAAACATTTTTGGTGGTGAAAATCCGATTTTTTTTTTTTAGTATATGACTGTAAAACATTTAACTGTAAAACTTTAAAACATTAATTTTTTAAATTAAATGCTTATTCATGCTTGATACTAAGCAGTTCTAACAATTTCCAGAGCCAATTCAGAGGCATGTGCAAATTAGTTGTTTGTATCTAACATTTAATTTGCTGTCACTTAGTTTTATTATCACTCATCATGGGTAAGCCAGAGCCATTGAGTGGGAATGGCTCTTCTGTGAAAGCTTTTCTATATAATATGAAAACTATCTATAGGAAGACAGGGCTTGATTCTGCCCTGCTGCAGGTGACCTGGGGGTAGCTAGTTTCATTCGTGAAAATTAGTACAGAAGCCACTTAAGGGCTGGGCATGGTGGCTCACACCTGTAATCTCAGCACTCTGGGAGGCCAAAGCAGGAGGATTGCTTGAGGCCAGGAGTTTCACACCAGCTGGCAATACAGTGAGACTCTTTTTTTTTTTTTTAAGCCACTTAAGTTATACTTGTATATTTCTGAACTCTCCTTAGATTCATGAGTCAGCATTACGAGCCAAGAACAGAAGACAGGTGGCAAAAAGGAAATTCGCTGCTCAAAGCTAATGTGCTCACTCTGCGGATGCGGAGGACAGACAGATGAAGTCTTCCACCTCAGCGAAACCCGTGGATGGCAGAATACATGAGGTGCTATTTGGCCAGAGCTTAAACAGTTGCTTGGACAGCTTCTTTTAAAAAGTGTAAATGACAGGAAAATCAAGATAAGACAAAAACTATCAAAAGATACTAAATGTAGGTTTAAGAAACCAACTGATTAAGCAAGAGTTTTACTAAGGAGATATCTAAAAGATTGTTTTATTTTGATAAATACTGTCCGGCAGCAGGCCAGACAGCTGAAGCCATAAACACTGGGTTATTTATGAAGATTATTAAACTTAATTTAGCTTTTATTTAGATTGTGATATTTAAGAATTAAGATATTTAATCAAGATATTTAATTTAGCAATTAAGATATTTAATTCTTAAATATCACAATCTATATGAAAGTTATGCTGAATTAAAATGCAAATGAGTTTATCTTCATAAATATTCCAATGTCTATGGGCTGGGTGAGGGTCATTTTTTCCCTTTTAAATTATCTAGGTACTTTTTATATAATAGCTTATATAATAGTTCAAATACATTCCAGTAGATAAAGTGCCAACACAATGTGTAGAATAGTAATAAAAACCAAAGTTTCTTTTGAATCAAAAACTGTCACTTTTTTTTTTATTGCAAGATGTTTTTGTTTTAGAACACATAACGCGCACTCTGTTACACTCTAGCCTTTTGGCGCACACCCACTGTGGCCTTCTGCCTCTTCAGCAATAGCTGGTGGTGATATTTAGAACTTACAATCTGAAATTGCATTTAGCAAATTGAGATTGTTTGGCCCATTGGGGTGGGGACCATTGTTAAGATACCCACTAGCCATGTTGCCCACCCCCACTTTCTTTTCTTTTTCTTCTACAGAACTTAACAATAATGAAGACTTGCTGTACAATATTTAGACTTTAGGTTGAAATACATTACTCTTTGATTCCTAGCCAGTAGATTTATCTACACCTTAACGTGAGGGAACGGTGGTGTGTGGGTAGGCACAAATGTCTGTAAATAGTGCTCCTTCTCTTCAGCACATTTGCTTTTGGGGTAGTAAAATGGTTTTAAAAAAGACTGGTTTCCATAAAAAATGAGCGAAATCTTGTGATTCTGCAGAGACAGGAATCTACTAGAAGGATGTGTGCTAAGTTCTTTATAAGTGATAAGAAAAGTACTTTTGGCTATGCCAACTTAGCACTTGAATGTGTGTGAATGAACATTTGGCGTTAGATGTGAGACTGGGCATTTCTTTGATGCTTTTACTCTGGGGTCTTTGCGTACGACAGTCAATTTTTAGAACACAGATTGGTTTCATTTCATTACACATAAAATCTTCAGCGTCATCTTAAAACTATCAAGTTTTGAAAACACATACTAAAGTATTGTGAGCTTTAAAAAAATTTTTTTTTAAATATCTGCATAGTTTTGAGGTGAATTCTTTTACATAGAGAGCTTTCCTAATCACTCAGATATATATATATATATATATATAATAAGAGGAAATTCTACATGTTGTCCAAAACAACCTTGCTAGTAATTCTAAAGAATCTGGGGGTTAACTATTATTAAAGTCTTTCAACATTGCAGGTACGTAAAGATCACATTAACATGACAATTATGATAGTGTATAATTGTGAAAAATATTCCCTTAACATAACTTTTGCACATTTGGTGTTAGCCATCCAGCTCAGACATTTGTATTGCACCTGACAATCTTAGGAAAGATGATGGCCTTAGGGAGTAGTTCAGGCCCACATTGATGCACTGCCTTAGAAACCTGACTCCTCTAGACTTTGAAAAAGCCAGACTTTCTCTTGTTTAGAAAACAGACTTATATTTAATGTGCTTACTTCTGAAAACTCCAGATGGGAAAAAACCTAGAAGGCAAATATTGGCCAATTTTTTCCCATTCTCTTTAAGTGGAAGATGAACAAGATTTCTAATGTACATTTAATGTGCATGAACAATGAATAAATGAATATGAATTGAGTCTTGTTCTCAAGTCCAAATTCTTGGTTGGTTGGGGTTTCTTGTTTTCAGGGTGACAATCACCTTTCGAGCCTATGAAATTTAAGTTGTTAAAATCTGACAGATCCTTCCTTCTTCTCATTCTAGGAACTACTGTGGTTGTAATCATGTTCATAATTCTTAGAACAACTTGCAAGACAGTGATACAATTTAAAATTTACCTCTCATGTTGAAAAACTCTGAAACTGAGGATCTGGCAACATTGTGAAACTTTAAAATTTTGGTTTTAAGGACTTAAAGCATATTTATGACAAATTGTTTTATGTTACTGCTTTAAAATAAAAGTAATAGAATATTGAAGTAATACTGTCTGGCACTTGGCATTAAATCTGCTAGATGAGAAGTAAATAAAAGTCTCTTTTAACTGCTCTTTAGATGTCAAAATACTTGGCACCTCTGGGCCTATATATATACTTCCCTGCATAAAATTTCTAGCACACTTATATATAAAGTTTCCTAAAGGTATAATAGGCTGTAAGTTATCTTGTTTATAATAAAGTTTGTTTTGAGTACTGCATTCACTTTAAAATTCTGAAAAAACAAAGGCTGGGGACATGTAATTACAAAGCTCAGGCAACAGGAATTTTGGGTTGTATTTTCTAAGAACAATATATTTTTAGCTTATAGTTATTGCATTTAATTGGAAAAATATGAGTAAAGGAAATTAACATTACAAGCTGAAACTATTCTATGTTTTCAAAACTGTTTTGGCTGGAAGGCTAAGACTATTTTGTGAGAAATCTGACTTGTACATAAATGGCTTGAAGAAAATGTATGATCATATTGACTCCTAAATGGATTTTTCATTAGATAAATGTTTAACAAGATACATTAGATATGTCCAGGAAAAGACAAGTTCTAAATATACACTTGGAACTGGGCTATAATTTTTTCCCAGTCTCTTCGCTCACATCATCTAATTGTTCTGAAAGTTACAAAAGTAATAGCACATGGCTAAAATAATTTAAAAAGTATGGAATAAAAATACCCCATACTACCCCCTTGTCAAAATTCTACTCCCTTTCTTGGAGGAAACCAGTGTTTTGTATGCAAATTTGCAGACATTTTTCCTAAGCACTTATCTAAATAGGTACATGTAACCATTTTTTCGCACAAATATTGGATAATGCTATACACATTCTATACTCTTTTTCACTTAATAGCTTAGGGAAGAGCCTGGTTCCAGGTAAGACAGCGTACACACATATTCCCCTCCTTCTGTTCTCACCAAACACAGCTAAAAAAATCTGGACAGAACATATCACACAGCTATTTGAGGACTCTGAAAAGTAAACAGTGACACACAAAATTGAGAACACCAGAACTCTAAGCACCACTGAACTGGTGGCGAGTTTTCCATTTTTTTTCCTTCTAGTATCTTCAGGCCCAAACACAGAAGCAAACACTGAAGTGCAGAGATGCAGAAGCCTGGATTGAGGAACAGGAAGGGAAGGGGCAGCTAAAGCTCAGAGTGAGGGAAAACCCCCCCTCCTTTCCCTTTCCTCTCTGTTTCATGCTGAAGCTCCTAGGTAATCCCCTGGTTGCTAGTGGGAGCCTGCAGAAGCCACATGTCTGAGGCAGGGGGATTTCATACATTTCCATTTGGTAGAGCGATGGCACCAAGAGGGCAGGGCTGAGCTGACATGCTCTGAAGGACTGATATGGCTCTGAACTGAAGCTGATATGGCTCTGTTATGGAAGTAGGCAGTTTGGGGCTGAAGGACCGAAAAAGAGGAGACCCAGGGAACCAGAAAGCACTGGGGAGAGAGTAGAGAGGGAAGAGCTTAGGAAAGTGACTCTACAGAGTTGTTTATGAACACTTGGGCTCACCCTGACCTATTTACCTGTTCAAAGGTGGAGCCAATCCTAATGAGCATACCAAAACAGCTGAGAACTGAGCTAACAGGTAATGCCTGCTCAGGTTTCAGACTGAGTGCAAGATGGTGCACATGTGGGATAGATCCAAAGAGCATGGCAAAAGCTTTGAAAACTGAACTGACATTGGGACCAACACCCACAGAAAGCAGGTTGGAATTTGTAGCCTCACCCGATCAGTTTCCTGCTAAAACAAAAATATCAACATTTCCTATAGGATTTAAACAAGGGCCTAGGTCTCATCATGTAATATTATATTCAAAGTGTCTAGGATGCAATCCCAAAGTATTCAGCATATGAAGCACCATGAAAATATAGACTTTAAAGTAGCTAATATTAGAAAGTTCAAATGAACAATTATACTCTCAAATACTAAAATAGAAATTATCAGTAAAGAAATAGATATAAAGAACCAGATGAAAATATTAGAACTGAAAAATACTATAAAAATTTAAAAACTCACTAGATTCAATGACAGAATGGAGATAACAAACAGATAGATTGACAAAATCATCCAATCTGAACAACAGAAGTGAGACTGAAAAACAAATGAACACAGTTTCTGGGACCTGTACAACAATAATAAAAGGTCTCACAGTCATGTTACAGGCAGATAAGAGGAAGAGTATAGTGCTTTAAAAACATCCAAATAATTAATGGGTAAAAAAAATCTCCCAAGTTTGGTAAAATCTTATAAATGCAATAATCTGAGTAAACCCTAAACAGAATAAAGCCTTAGAAATCCATGCCCAGACACATAGTGATCTAACTGCGGAAAACTAAAAGACACCTTGAAAACAGCCAGAGAAAAATGATATAATACTTACAGGGAAACAATAATTTGAATGAAAGCAAAGTTTTCAACAGAAACCATGGAGATGAGAAGGAAGTGGCTCATTTCTTAAAGTGCTGAAAGAAAACTGCCAACACAGAATACTATATCCAGTGAAATATCCCTCAGTAATGAAGGTGAAATAAAGACATTCCGAGATAAAGGAAAACTAAAGATTGGGAGCCAGCAGACCTGTTTTAAAGGAACTGCAGTTAAAGAAAGTTTTTAGACAGAAGAAAAATAGTACCAAAAGGCAACTTGGAACATCAGGAAGAAGAGCAACAAAAATTGTAAAGATCTGGGTAAATATAAAAGACTATTCTCTTCTTGAATTCTATTAAACATGTTTGATGGTTGAAAAAAAAACATATAACATTGTCTGATAGGATTTTCAATGTATGTAGATGCAATATATAAGACAATTATAACCAAAAGTGGGGCAGGTAAAGGGACCTACATGGTAGTAAAGGTCTCTATATTCCAATTAAAATGATACAAAATAATGGTTCTAAATAGACTAAAATTTTTCCATTAAAAATTATATAAAAATATAGTCAAAATGGCTGGGCACAGTGGCTCTCACCTGTAATCCCAGCACTTTGGGAGGCTGAGGCAGGAGGATCACTTGAGGCCAGGAAACCAGCCTGAGCAACATGGTGAGACCCCATCTCTACAAAAAATAGAAGAACCAGTCAGGAATGTTGGTACACGCTTGTGGTCCCAGCTACTTGGGAGTTTGAGGTTGCAGTGAGCTATGATAATGCCACTGCACTCTATTCCAGGCACCAGAATGAGACCCTGTCTCCAAAGGAAAGAAAGTCAAAATCACAATAGATAAAATAGAACACTAAAAATGTTCAAATAACTCAAAAGAAGCAGGAAAGGGGAAGCTGAGGAACAGAGGAAATAAAGCCAAACATATCAATAATTACATTAAATGTGAATGATATAAATGCAACAATTAAAAGTGTCAGAATGACTTTTTAAAAAACATGATTCAGCTTATATGATATCTATAAGAAATTCATTTTAAATATAATATCAGTAGGATAATAGGAGAAAGATGGAAAAAAAGATATACCATTCAAACACCAAAAAAAGGAAAGCAAAGTTGATTTTGAACAAAGGAAATTACCAGGGATAAAGAAGGTTATTGTATGTTAATAAAAGGGTCAATTCACCAAGATGACACAGCATTCTTAAATGTGTATATACCTAATAGTAGAGCTTCAAAATATATATACGCTTCTGTGGTGATAGTGCTAGCACAAAATGGTGACCCTGCTGGATTTTCTATACGAAGCGTGGCAAGTGCCGCAAGCGCTATCCCCACAAAATGGCACAGTGTAAGAACAAGGTTTCTCTGTGCCCCTGGGGAAGCAGCATTATGACAGGAAGCAGAGTGGCTACCGTGGGCAGACTAAGCTGAATTTCCAGAGAAAGGCTACAACTACAAAAAAAAAAATTGTGCTGAGGCAAAATATATAAAGGAAATCTGACAGGGCAGAGAGAACCAGACAAATTCACAATTACAGTTAGATACATCAACACTCGTATCGATAATTGAACTGAGACATGGAAAATCTTCAAAGATATAGAAGAATCCATTAATACCATTAATCAAATGGCTCTAATTGACATTTATAGAGCATTCCACTCAACAGCAGAATACATATTCTTCCAAGTGCATGGAGAACATTCACTAAGACCATATCCTGGTTTATAAACATTAACAAATGTAAAATAATTGAAATCATACAAAGTATGTTTCTGGCTTTAATGGAATTTAACTAGAAATCAGTAATATATGACAGGATAATGTGAAATCCATTTGAAATTAAACATAATCACATAAATTAACCATCAAAGAGGAATTCTTAAGAGAAATTAGAAAATATTTTAAATGGAAGAAAAATAAAATTGTAACATGTTAAAATTTGCGGGCACAGATAAATCAGTACTTGGAAGATTTACTGCATTGAGTGCTTCTGTGAGGAAAGAAAGTTTCAGATCAATAATCTCAATAATCTGAGCTTCTACCTCAGGAAACTAGAAAAGGATGAGCAAAATAAACCACATCTAGCAGAATGGAGGAAAAAGTAAAAAGCAGGAACCAACAAAATAAAAAAATAAAAAAAAAAAAA